TTTAAATTTTTAAAATGTTTTATAATCAGTTTATATTAGTTTATAATTGATGCAATTATTAAATAACCAATTAAATTTATGTTATATTATTCTTTTTAGAAATCTCCTTATTCATAAAATGAACTTTAAATTTTTTTGTATTTTATAAGTACTTATTATTATAAATAAAAATCAAAAATAATAACAAAATTTATCATCTTTACTTCTAAAATATTAGCAGACAATATTTTTGAATATGAAAATGTAGAATTTTCAAAATTATATAATAATGATAATATGGATTCATTTTCAAGAAATTATCTTCCTTTTAAAGATTTAAGTATTTTTTATTCAAGTTCTTTAATAATACTATATTTATATATTATTTCTCAACCCTCTTAACTACCTTAATAACTACAATAGCATCAACTACTATAATAATTATAATAGTAGTAATTGCTACAACAACTATAACAATAGCTATTACTTTAACTACTTTAATCTCTTTAACTTCTTGAAATTTAAAATCAACCTAATATGAAGATATTATTTTATAAATTTTTTACTTTCTCTCTTTTTCTCTTTCTCTTTCTTTTAAAATATATATTTAACACATCATTTTTTTTTATTTAAAAACAGGTAATAATAATGCTAATTCATCAAAAATAAAATCATAAGATAATAAAAAGAGAAAAGCATTAGTAAAAAATATTGAAAAAGAATCATCTAAATAGGATGATGATGAAATTATTACATATATTTAGAATAATAGTCTAGCAATAAAAGTAAGTTTTATAATTCAGTTTCAGCTAAAATTCTTTCAAAATTTTTAATGTACAAATAAAAAATAAAATAGGAGGATTAATATATCAATATGATAAAGTTAAATCAAAAAAAAATCAAACTAGAACTGTAAAAATAGACTAGAAATGGTATGAGTAACTGAATGAGATTTTAAAAATATGTAAAATAATAAACTCAAGTTTTATAACAATCAATATTGAATCTATGAAATAAGAAAAATGTTATTAAATCTAAAAACAAAAGACCTAAAATTTCAACTAATTCTATTGGAAATGCTATTTTAACAATAAGTTTAGTATGAGAAAAATGTAGAAAAAGAAGTATAAATTATAAGAAAAAGAATTAATTTTAAAAAGAAATGAACTGATCAAGAATTAGCAATTAAAAAGAATAAATTATATAGATTAAATATAGTATCTTTAATTATTATCTGAAATATGAGAACAATTAATTATTATGATAAAGCAATGCAATATCATTCTATTTTGCATATTAATCAACCAATAGAATTCTAAATTAGTGATCATGTGTGTTTTATAAAATTAAACATTAAAAAAATTGAACATAATAAAAAATTGAAATAAATATTCATTTTTTTTATAAGTTTTGTTATACTTTAAATTAGAATAATTAACCATTTTCTAGTATAATTAATTTTATAATAAATTATTATCTGTTTATAAAAGTTCAATAATATAATATTATAAAATCAAGAAATCTTAAAACAACTTATTATATAATCTTTTTATAACAAAAAGATAATATTAAAAGAATTATAACATTAAGAATTGAGAAATAGTTAATTAAATAAAAAGTTATAAAGAAAAGTTAATCAGAAATTACATAACAGATTATATAGCATAAAATAAAATCAAATTATATTATAAATTAACAAAATTATATTATAAATATGAATTACATAATATAAGACAAAAATTAATCATATGATACAGATATATTACAGAAATTAGAAATTATAAATTATAAAAAATAATTACTGAAATTGCATAGAAAGAAAATAATAAAATTTTATAGAATAAAAGAAAAAAATAATATAATTTATGAATATACATAAAAGTTACACAAAAACTCAAATAAAAGAAACCAATAAAATAAAATTATAGAATACTTATATAACTCATATTTCTAAAAAATATTAATAATTATTATATAAAATTAAAGAAATATAAAAGAATAAAAAATTTAATTATTGTAAACTTAGGAAAAAGGATGAAATATCTAAAATAGAAATAATATAATATTAATACTATAATAATATCATAAGAATATGTGATAATTTTTATAATAATAAGAAAAATTAAGAAGGAATATATGAAATAATAAAGAAAAACTTTAAAAAGAAATAGAAAATAGAATAGAAATAAGATTAAAATAAAAATAATATAAAAATTAGAAACTGTAATAATGAGAAATATTAATGAATCTAAAAATAAGTATGATTATAATGTTAAAAATAATAGTGAAGTAATAATATAATAATAGAAATAATTAATAAAAGAAATAAGAACTAAAAATTATTAGAAAAATATTGAAAATTAAAAATAATAGAAAAAAATGAGAAACAAAAAATAATAATAGCAAAAATGTGAATAAAAAATAATGAAAAAAATAAAAAATAAGAAAATAATCTACAAATTAATCAATATTAGTTTTATATAAATAGTGTAAAAATTTATTATATAGAGTTAAACAATTTTTAATCTTTTAATTAGAATTATTTATAATCATTATATTTTAAATAATAAATAGTGAAACAATATTAAATACAAATTATTCTATTATTAGTATATAAATACTAATAATATTAATACTGATAGATCTTTTTGATATATTAATAAGTGAGCTAATAAAAACCTCTTTGTTAAGTTAATACTTATTATTAGGATCCAGTTCATTTCACCAACAAACATTTTACTGACATGTTTATTTCACCGACAAACATTTTACCGACATGATCATTTCGTCGACAGTTGATTTTTTTTTATAAAATTTTAAATTATAAATTAATCATTAATAAAAAAACAAAATAAAATAAAACTTTTATATTTTAAAGAAAATTTAGAAAAATTTTGATTATAATAATAAAAAAAAAGAAGAAAATTTTCAATTTGGAGATCATATGTTATATAAACAAGATATAATTGTTTGAGATATAAATAGAAATTTATATTGCTACATACTAACTAATATTGATCAAAATTCTTCAAAAAAATTTTTTTGTTCTTGTTCTTTTGTTTTACTGCTCAAATAAAAACATATTACCTTTTTTCATAATGTATATTTTTGAAATTGTTTCTTCTATTCGTAATAAAGAAAAATTAATATCTATAGTTATATGATGCTTAAAGACAAAAATAGTAATCATAGATATTATTAGTACTGTAAAAACGTGATATTTTAAAATGCAATGGACGAGCAACCACTATATTAACTGAAGACTAATACCATCTTGTAAAAAATTCTAAACATAATCATGCTGCAGAAGCTAGCTGGGTTAATGTTATCAAAAAAATTAATATATTGAAAGAAAGGACTTAGCAAAGCAATGATCAACCTGCACAGTTTATTCAAACTATTGTATCTGATAGTATAAATGAAGTATATCCTTATCTTCTATCACATGATGCACTTCGTCAAGTAATTAAACGAGTTCGACATATTGATACTCATGTGGAACCACAATCTTTGGAGAGCCTTGTTATTCCTGAAGATATGAAAAAAACATTAGATGGTGCTGACTTTTTAGTTAAAGATTCAATTGTTGGTAATGAAAGAATGCTAATGTTTACAACTTCTGCTAATGTTAATTGTTTAGCACAATCAACCATCTGGATTATGGATGGAACTTTTAAAACTGTTCCAACTATATTCAAACAATTGTATACAATTCATGGATATGTTAGAGGAAGTAAAAATTCAAGGATTATGCCTCTTGTTTTTGTCTTAATGTCTAGCAAATCTGAAGAATGCTATAGAAAATTATTTCAAGATTTAATTGACTTCAGTGATGAGCATAATATCGATTTACAACCACAATTTGTTTTAACAGATTTTGAAAAAGCTGCAATTAATGCAATTCATGAAGAATTTCAAGTTCAGAATAAAGGATGTCATTTTCATTTATCTCAAAATATCTATCGTAAAGTGCAGAATCTTGGCCTTAGTATTCAATATGAAACTGATGAAAATTTCAGTTTATTGATTAGACATATACCCGCTCTTGCTTTTTTACATCCAGATGATATTCCTAATGCATTTGATGAATTGAGAATTAATATGCCAGAAGAAGCAAATGATATTATAGAATGGTTTGAAATTTATTATATTCGTGATAGAGTAAGACGTACAACAAGAAGTAAAAATATTACTAGATCAGAACCAATGTTTCCTCCTTCACTTTGGTCAGTTACTAACAATATTGAATATGCATTTCCTCGAACCCAAAATTCTGTTGAAGGTTGGCATAGAAGATGGGAAACATTAATAGGTCGTGCACATGTAGATATATTTAAAATTATTAAAGATATACAAAAAGAACAAAATCAAGTTCAACTCAACATAAAATCAATTTTGCGAGGAGCACTACGATCTTCACAAAGAAGACAAGATCATGAGCGTGAAGATCGAATTCAAAAAGTATATAATGATCGTGAAAATAGATCACTTATGGATATTTTATGAGAAATTGCTCATAATCTTTCATTTAGATAGTTTGTAGTAAATTCTAGTAGTTTTATATAGTTTATTAATATGTTTTTGGGCAATTAATACAATAAATACAAAATTTTTTTTTGGAAAGGTAAAAATGATCATCGTTAAAAGGGGGGGACATAGGGTGTTCCCACTAAGGAGTGGTAGCCTCTTCAGTGCCTTCTTGCTATATTTCTTTGTATTCTTTTTCTGTTTCTCGCACTTCTAGCTCATTATAATTACTAATTATATTTCTTGCCTAGCTGAAGACTCCGCAATCTCTGAAATACTAATTATTAATCTTACTTAGCTAAACTCTTTGGAATTGTATAAATACTAATTTG